CGGCCTGCCCTTGCCTTACAGTTTCGAAGTGTTTTTTACCATCCCCTCAGAAGGGAATTCCCTTGGTCAGAAGTTAGGGACCAGGCCCTCAGATTATAGTTGCCCTGGGGGCATGGTGATATTTTGAAAGAGCTCCTGAACTGGTGAACCATGGTGTGGAGAGGGAATTTCTGAAAACCTCCAGCACCTTCTCCCTCCTGCCATTCACCCTAACGCTAATGGGTTGTTGAAGGTTAAAAGGCAAAGGCAGTAAACATGTCTCCACTGTATCTCCAGTCCCTAGAAGTGGCTGTCCCTTGGCAGGCACTCAGTAAACATTAGAATAATTGACCGATTACTGGCAGAAGGTAGACACTTAAAGGGTCTACATATGGTCCCCAACTTACAATGGTTCAACATAGATGGTTTTCAACTTTATGATGGGTTGGTTGAAAGTGATGCTTATTTGGTAGAAACCGTACTTTGTATACTCACATCATCATTCTGTTTTCCACTTTCAGTACAGTATTCAATAAATTCAGTAAATTACATGAGATATTCAACACCTTATTATAAAATAGGCTTTGTGTTAGATGATTTTGCCCAACTGTAGGTAATGTAAATGTTCTGAGCACATTTATGGTAGGTTCAGGTAAGCTATGATGTAGGTTAGGTATATTAAATACATTTTTTTTTTTTTTTGAGACAGAGTCTCACTTTGTTGCCCAGGCTAGAGTGAGTGCTGTGGCGTCAGCCTAGCTCACAGCAACCTCAAACTCCTGGGCTCAAGGGATCCTCCTGCCTCAGCCTCCCAAGTAGCTGGGACTACAGGCATTCGCCACCATGCCCGGCTAATTTTTTGTATATATATTAGTTGGCCATAATTTTCTTTCTATTTATAGTAGAGACGGGGGTCTCGCTCTTGCTCAGGCTGGTTTCGAACTCCTGACCTCGAGCAATCCTCCCGCCTCGGCCTCCCAGAGAGCTAGGATTACAGGCGTGAGCCACCGCGCCCGGCCTAAATACAGTTTTTACTTAGGTTATTTGACGGGTTTAATGGGACCTGATCCCATAGTAAGTCAAGGAGAATCCGTACAAGGAAAAAAAAAGAATCAACATTTACTGAGCACCAGCTGTGTACTAGGTACTTAATTCATTTAATCCTCACTCGATGAGATCTTCACAGATGAAATAATTGAAGCTCAGAGAAGTTAAGTAATTTGCCTAAGACCAGTTCTTAACTTTTGAAATCTGATTAAATTTCTGGATCCTTTCTCTGGAAAAGTGCCAGTATGCACAAAGACACATAACTCTGTGTACAATTTTAGGGACTTTTCAGACTCTGGAGGAGTCCATGGACCCCACATTAGGAACCCCCTAATACAATATTAAATGGTAGTGTTGAGATTGAATTCCTGTCCTCTAATTTCTCTTTCTCCACGGATAAATTCACAGTTCTTAGCCCCCTGAGGGAAAGTGGTCCTGGGTAGGGAGCCCTAGGGAGCTGCCGGACTCTGTCAGAAGGCAGGTGGGGTCTTGGGCTCCTGGAGGGGTGTTGGGTGGTTTCCACATCTGTGCTTTGGGCCTCACCAGCCACGTGGGGTTATGTGCAGATGTCCTGCCACCCGGAGCTGAATCAGTATATCCAGGACACACTGCACTGCGTCAAGCCGCTCCTGGAGAAGGTGAGGGGACACCAAGCCCTTCCAGCCCCCTCATCCCCAATCTGTCCCTCCAGGATGCGAAGTCCATGCGGGGTCCCCATGGCTCTAACATCCAGAAGCCTGTTCTCTGCACTCTGTAGACCACCCCCACCCAGGCCCTAAGGGATGTGGCCATTTTCTGGGTACCTTGGGCCTGGGAGCCTGGGTTAGTGGAAATGGCTCTGAGTAGGGCCTGCCTGGAGAGTTCTGGGTTCTGCCCCCAACCCTGAAAGTTCTGGCTGGGCTTCTTCCTCCTGTCTTGTCCTGGTCTCAGACTCCTCAGGACCCCCATGGGTCCCAGGCATCCTCTCTCAGCCTGTATCACTCACGTCCGAGGGTGCCAACTTGACCTTAAACCTGCTTTCTGGGCTCTCAGGGACCTGAGCAGCGAGCAGGGCTGTGAGTGCACCCTTACCCATCCCTCCTTGGGCAGGGAGGGGTTGAGGTGGGTGGGGTGCCTGGCTCTGGAGTGGCGGCATTACTGTCCTTGCAGAATGATGTGGAGAAAGTGGTGGTGGTAATTTTGGATAAAGAGCACCGCCCAGTGGAGAAATTCGTCTTTGAGATCACCCAGCCTCCACTGCTGTCGATCAGGTGAGCTGCCTGTCCCCCCCAGCCTGCTAGCTGATGTGAGGTCCGTCTCTAGCAATACATGCCCCTCGTCCCGGCCTCTTTAAGGAAGTCCCTGAATACCTTGGTAAAGGCCTGAGAGGAGAGAGGGCAAGATGTGCCAACCTGCCAAGGGTTCACCCTGGTAGTGGCTGAGACAGGCCGGGCACTGGCCTCTGTGTACAGTACACAGGTTACACAGACACCACCCTGGGTTACATCTGGAAAGTCATAGCATTGGTGAATGGCACCTCATTTTACAGATGGAGAAACCAAGGTTCAGAGACATGACATGAACTACCCAGGGTCGCCTGAGTGGTGGCAGAGCCAGGACATACCTAGTTTCCTGACTTCTCAGTCAAATGTCCAATCCACAGTCAACTAGAAGTTGACCTTGGGTACAAGGGTTAGCTGGTCAACTGCATGCTTCCTCCAGTGAGGTCAGGACACTAGAATATGGCACCAGCCTGTCTCTACTGGTTGAGTGGCCTCAGACAAGCCCTTTCCCCTCTGGACTTGGTGTCCTTGTTGTCTAGCCTGGCTGCACATTCTGCCTTCATCTGGAGTGGGGCTGGCATGGGTTGGAAACCCCGGTGACATTAACTGTGTGGAGTAGATAGGGAGCCAGGCCCTAGAAGCCAACGCTTGGAGGCACTGGAGGGCTCTGGACCTGTGGTCTGCACCAGGGTTGGTTGCTGCTGCTGGTGGGAGGGCGGGCACCATGTGATGGGAGACCTCTCACTCCCAGCTCAGACTCCCTGTTGTCTCATGTGGAGCAGCTGCTCCGAGCCTTCATCCTGAAGATCAGCGTGTGCGACGCTGTCCTGGACCACAATCCCCCAGGTGTGCCTACTCTACATCCCCTCTTCCCTTGCCATTTCCATGGTTACCTGGGGTAAGTCTGTGTTCCCATGTCCCCGTTTGGCTGGCTGAGCCTTGTCTCTTCCTTCCTGCCCTTAAGAACCCCTGTGAGAGTCACCTCCTCCAGGAAGCTTCCCTGATTGACTCTAGGTCAGGTGGCCTATTTTTTTAAATTTCATTTTTTTCACTTTTTTTGGCCAATTAATTTGTTTCTATTTTAGTAGAGACGGGGTCTCGTTCTTGCTCAGGCTGGTTTTGAACTGCTGACCTCTAGCAATCTGCCTGCCTTGGCCTCCCAGAGTGCTAGGATTACAGGCGTGAGCCACCGCTCTAGCTCTACCTGGCCTTAATCTCCCTGCTGACTGCCTTTTCTTAGCACTTGCTTTATACTTAGCACTCTGCTCTGGGGGTGAGGAGGGTACTGCTGAGCCAGCGGGGGAGGTGGGAAGAGGCTGGGCCCAGTGGCAGGCACCGGGTGGCTCAGCTCCACCCACCTCTTGCTCCCCAGGCTGTACCTTCACAGTCCTGGTACACACGAGAGAAGCTGCCACTCGCAACATGGAGAAGATCCAGGTCATCAAGGTGAGATGAGACTGGGGCTGAGGGTGGGCGGGGAGGCTGCTGGGAGGCTCTAAAGACATGATGCCACAGCTCTGAGAGGGCAGGGGCGTTGCCTTGGCCAGGGCCTGGCACCCAGCAGGTTCTCGTGTGTTAACTGTGTGGCCACACACTTGGCCATTATTCCATCTGGGCACTCAGCTGAGAGCAGCACAGATTGAGCCTCATGCTGGGGACACTGGCTCTTCCTGGCTCTTCTGAAGTGGGGGTTCCTAGGGAGGGGGTCCTGGCCCACCTGTTTCAGAATTGGTGATTGGGATTTGTTAAGTCACTTGGGTTCTAGGGACTCCACCTGTCCCGCCAGCAGCTCCCTAGTGATGCTGATGCTCCCTCAAGTTAGAGGCCCACCTTCCCCCAGCCCCCCACCTGGAAGGGGAGGGGCAGCAAAGTGAGGGCAGGGCAGGGCCCAGCCCCTTCCATCCCTCACCTTGGTCCCCTCCCCAGGACTTCCCCTGGATCCTGGCAGATGAGCAGGACGTCCACATGCACGACCCCCGGCTGATACCCCTAAAAACCATGACGTCAGACATTTTAAAGGTGAGCTGCATGTGGACCGCAGGAGCTTTATTTAGAGGATGCTTAGGAGGTGAGGCCAGTGCTGAGGCCTTGCCAGGCAGCGTGCAGATCAAGGCTTGGGAGCGAGGACTAAGGAACGCCCTGTGTAAGGCTTTTCCCATTTCTCCCCTCTCCCTTAACCTTGCTGGGTCCAGGGTAGGCGCCCTGGCTGGCTGGCTAGCTTACCGCGGCTGTTTGTTTCTGTCCCTTAGATGCAGCTCTACGTGGAAGAGCGAGCTCATAAAAGCAGCTGAGGATGCACCTGCCACCCCACTGATGCCAGAACTGTCAGACTTCGGGGGCCCCCAGCCTAGGGCAGCGCTGCAGGGCCACCCTTACTCCAAGTGCTCTTACTGCCTCTATGTAAGGACCACCCGCCCTCCAGCCCAGGGCTGCTCAGGTCTGGTTGCCTTCATGGAGGAAGCCCCCCCCAGGGCAGTGAAAATGCTGGGACCTTGATTCCTCAGCCCCCCTGGGCTTCAGCGGCCAACACTGTCTGTCTCAAATACTGTGCTGTGAGTTGTTTCAATAAAGGGGCCCCAAGGGCTGGGCTGAGCTGGGCTGTCACTAACTGGAGTGGGAGGGAGAGGTGTGGCGACAGTAACCTGGGGGAGCAGCTGCTTCTCCATCAAAGTGCCACAGACCCCTCCCCCAACCGGAAACCCAACCCCAGGCTGGCTTTATTGAAAACATTTATTATGACAAAACATCAGACCTGTGTTGACAGTAAGACCCCTGCGACAGGATAGGGTGCCTCACTGCCTACTCCAGGCTCAGTTCTTGCCTGGAGGAACCTTTGGCTTACTCAGACGGGGACAGATGAGTGGCTGTCAGGACAGACTGTCAGAAGGGCCTGTGGAGACGAAGTGGGGAGGGCCGGCGGGCAGAGTCCTCCTGCACCTGCCGCGGCTCCGGCCGAGCTGTGGCAGCAGCTGGGTTCCTGCTCGTCTTGTGGCTGATGATGATGCTGCTGTTGGTGACCCGGGGCCCATACCAGCCTGCCCAGAACTGGGTGTCCTTGCCCCCATGCTGAAAGAGGATGTGGCGAACACCTGGAGGGTAGTCTGAGAAGGTGTGGGAGACCTGAGGGGAGGAGGGGAGAGAAAGTGACCACTGAGATTGGGAGGGGTTAGGGGTGGGGTGACCCCTCAACCGGAGAGGGGAAGGGAGGAGCCTGTCCTCTGGGCGAAAGCTGCCCAGGTCAGAAGGCAGGGGCTCCAGGCACTGGGGCTGTCCGTTGTTTCCTGCCACCCTGGCTCTGGGGGAAGGGGGTGGCCAGAGCAAGCAGGGGAGGTCTCACCTCCGTCCACGTGGCGTCGTTCCACTGTTGGACGGTCACAGGCGGGGGCTCAAAGGAGGCCAAGACGATGTAGTCGGCTGAGACCAGCTGTACTCGGATTTGGTAGGTGCAGCCACAGTCTGCTCTGGCTGCGAACCTGGGGAGGGTGGGGTTGAGAACTGCCCCAGGGACCCACGAGGTGGAGTGTCCTTCCCTGAGCTTGGCTGGAGCCACCTGCTGCCAGTGCTGCCCTGCCCTGCCCGTGAGGCCCAGCTTGCATCGGCGTCCCCTAGGCCTCACTGCGGCCCTGGGGTAAGCAGTCTCTCCATGTTGGGCCTCAATTACGTTATCTGAGAGAAAGGGCAACTCTTTTGGGCATTCTTCTCAAGATGTGACCTCATAAAGCAAAAGGCCCTCTACAGAGACAGACGCCCTGACTGTTCAAGCTGTGTCAGCTGCACTTACAATGGGCTGGGCTAGGCCGGGCCTGGTGAGGCTGTGGTGGGAAGATCATTTGAGCTCAGGAGTTTGAGACTAGCCCGAGCATGAGCGAGATCCCATCTCTACTAAAAAATATATAGAAAGAAATTAGCTGGATAACTAAAAATACATAGAAAAAATTTGCCGGGCATGGTGGTGCATGCCTGTAGTCCCAGCTACTCGGGAGGCTGAGGCAGGAGGATGCCTTGAGCCCAGGAGTTTGAGGTTGCTGCGAGCTAGGATCGGCATGGCACTCTAGCCTGGGCAACAGGGTAAGACTCTCTCCAAAATACCAAAACAACACAATGGACTGGGTTGTAGATTCATTGGCAGATTCCAGGGGTGACCTGTGTGATAGGCCTGGTAGAGTCACCCTCTCAGCCCAGCTGTCCCTTGCCCCCCATACCCCTCCAGCCTCCCTCCTCCCCCTCAGGGTGGTAGCCCTGGGGGCTGGCTAGAACTGGGGTCCTGCTTCTGCCTTGGGCCAAGCCAGACCCCTGCACAGCTCTGTGTACAAGAGCAGGAGCTCGGGAAAGGGTCGTGGGGTGAACAGGGAAAAGGGGCAGGGGAGGCAGGTAGGCAGGAAGCCCTGTGAGTCTCCACCAAGTCCAGGGTCCTTTGTGGTTCCATGGCCTGTTAGTGACATCTCATCTGGGGGGGCCACAGTCTTCCCATCTGCAAACGGGGGCTACTGTGTCTTGCTGACCATGTCACAGGGTAGTGGGGAGCCTAGAGGTACTGTGGGTGAGCAGGCGCTGGGTCCTGTGGCAGAGGGGTGTGCCAGGTCTGCCTGGCTCTAGGGACAGCCCCTGTCCCAGAACACTGCTGGGCACAGAGTGGGCACTTGCTATGAGCTGTCCTACCCAGTGGGTAGCGCAGTAAGAGAAATGGGACAGATGTAGGGTGTGGGGATACAGGCCATGCGCCCCACTCACCAGTCTTTGACCACGATGTGGGGCCGAAATGTGTCCATGAGCTCCTCCCAGTAGCCCTCGGCCTTTAGGTCCACCAGCTGGGACTTGAGGCATGTGCTGAGAAGTGGGGAGAGAGACTGCATCCCATGGTGTGTTCCACAGGGCCCTTCCTTGCCCAGGCCTTGGCAGCCCTGGTGAACCCAGGGGGTGGTTCAGGGCACCTTAGGTGTCCCTTGACCGCTGCAGGACCAGCACTGGGGGGGGGGGCTGCCTCTGGCTCCTACCCTGGTGCAGGCCCGTGAGGAACACATGCATGGAGTGTGACCCACTTGTGCCTGGGTGGCATCTGATCCCAGTCCAGAGGTCCAGCCTCCTGGGACACCAAGGAAGGCACCTCTGTGAACTCGCGTGCCTGGATTAGGGACGCCTGCAGACACCCCTGACTTAACTGCCCAATGGGCGCCTGGCCTCCTTCAGATGACAACTATTCCCAGCACCCAGCCAGAGTTACTCGCTCCAGGAAGCAGGGGACCCTGACCAGGTGTGGGGGCCACCTGTCTTGAGCTTTGCAGAGACCCTTCCTTAGGCCTGAGACTTGGCAAAGGTGTCCTGACCCTCAACCCCTCCACACGAGCCTCCTGGGTTCAGTCTGTCTTACCTGTATGATGTGACAAAGTATTTCTTGACTTTGGGATCAGGAAAATCCATCCCATGGTCTCCAGGGAGGCTCTCCACCTTCCAGCGGTCCCCCCCATTGGAGTCGATTCGCCATGACCCCATATCCTCTAGGAAAACGGAAGCGGAGGTGAGATCCCCTCCCCACTAGGTGCTGGGAGGACGGGAGGGAGGGTGGTTGGTTGGCGTTAGCGAATTCCTGGTGGGGGGCAGGGCTTGCTCCTGCTCAGGTGTCTGGGGCTGTGGATACCAAAGGGTTAACCGGCTTGTTCCTTTCTTGAGGGCATTATGTAGCCAAGGCCAGCCCCCACCAGTCCAAGTGCACCCCAACTCTACCTTGGAGCACCCCCACAAAGCTCCTCCAACACATTCCCTCCTGTCCGCATATCATCTCTGCCTGGGACCCCTCCCTCCCATGTATTCCCCAACCGGCTTGACTCCTAAAGTGAGGCTGAAGACAAGAACACGTGTCACTAGAAATTCTAAACTAAACCTTTCCTCCCTTCCATGATGTGGAGCTCTGGGAGATACCCAAGCATCAGTTCTCGAAAAATTAAATTACCAAGGGCCTTTGACAGTACTGTCCTCAGTGGCTACTGCGAGTTCATGCCCGTGTGGGCTGCTTCCCTGACCGCTGGCACCCCTGATGTCTAGGAGGGAGAGGTCCCTGGTTGACTATGTAATCGGGGTTGGAGGGGGACCTGGGAGGACTGATTTATGGATTTGTTGGAGGGTCGTGGGGACCTACTATTCCGACATGCTCAGAGGGCCTCCACCCAGGGTGAGAGTGCTAAGTAGGAGGACAGGCCGCCCTCTGGGCTGGTGGCTGTGGAAACCCCCAATTTGTGAAAGGACCTCCATCAAGCGGGCTCCGCAGGTTTCAGGGTTATCCCCTTCAAACTTAGCTCAGAGGATCTTAGAAAACAGTAGCACTTCTCTACCCAGGCTGTCCTGAACAAACACCAGGGTGCTTTTCCCAATGACTCACTTGCTCCCTATACCAGGAACCCCAGGCGCCCCTAGTAGGGAGCTGGAGGAGTAACAAATGCAGGAGAAATCTGAGCAAGGCCTGGCCTGACCACTGTCGGGCCCAGGGCAAGGCAGGGCCACAGGCAGCTGTCACATGGTGTGGGCTGAGCAGGCAGTGTAGCCAGGCAGGTCCTAAGTGGGATCTGGGGCAGGCAGAGAGATTGTCTGGGGTGTAGTCTACGGGGTCTCTGGGAGGAGCTCAAAACCTTTACTGGCCAGGACCAGAGCCTGGAAGCTGGGCAAGTCACTCATCTTGGAGCCTAAAGCTTTCCATCTCGAAAATAGATTCCATCCTAATTGGCCAACTCCCAGGATCCTTGTGAGGGTAAAGGGAGAAAAGGGATATGAAAGGGACTTTTAAGTGCACAAACCATGCTTCATAATCTGCTGCTGCCATGGCCCCAAGAAGCATGGTATCTGGTATACAGTAGGTGCTGAATGAATGATGGGGGAAAAGCTTTGGCAAATATAAAAGAATATTACAGGCTAACCAGGGACCTCAAACTATATGATCACAGTCACCTCTAAATCCTCTACAACGAGGATCATGGAAGGGGGAAAACTCAAAAAAAACAAGCAAAAAGCCCCTGGAAAACGAACAACCTGGAACGAAACAAGGGGAAAACCGGAACCGCAAGTGTGTTCACTCAACAAACGTTCCCTGAACACGTACTATGTGAAGATGTCATCGTGGACACTGTATAGAGTGGCAGACAAGGTCCATCAGGCCCCTGGAACTTCAAGCTTATGGCAGAGAAGGAAAAGATAAGGTAGGCCAGGCATGGTGGCTCACACCTGTAATCCTAGCACTTTGGAAGGCCGAGGCTGGTGGATTGCTAGAGGTCAGGAATTCTAAAACGGCCTGAGCGAGAGCAAGACCCTGTCTCTACTATAAATAGAAAGAAATTAATTGGCCAACTAATATATATAGAAAAAATTCGCTGGGCATGGTGGCGCATGCCTATAGTCCCAGCTACTCGGGAGGCTGAGGCAGGAGGCGGCTTGAGCCCAGGAGTTTGAGGTTGCTGTGAGCTAGGCTGACGCTATAGCACTCTAGAGGGGGCAACAGAGTGAGACTCTGTCTCAAAAAAAAAAAAAAAAAGAAAAGGTATATTATGAAAAGTGCTATGGGGCACTGAATGGGGGTGACATCATAGAGGTGGGGAGACCTGTTTTTAGATTGGGGGGTCAGGGCAGGTCTCTGGATGGAGACGTGAAGAAAAAGGAGGAACCGAGAGAATGAGGTAGGTGTTAGGGGTGTGAGAGAACATTCCAGGTAGTGCAAAAGCCCTGAGGCTCGGGTGGGAAGGAACTGGCCCGTGGCAGCCCCACCTCACCCCAGCCCACCTTCCGCACACGGGTTGCGCAGGAGGTTCCTGCGGAGGCTGCACAGGAAGTAGAAGATCTTCCAGTCGGCCACGGGCTGGTCCCAGTGCTCGGTGATGAAGCCCTCGAGCACGCACTTGCGCTTCCACAGGGTCACCACGTCGATGAGGTCCCGCCAGAGGCTGCAGACGGGGCGGCAGCGCAGCAGGAGCTGGCGCGCGGGCACGTGTGTGAACAGCTCCAGCAGGATGTTCTCGGGCAGCTCGTTGATGCTGACCAGGGCCATGGCTGTGCTGGGGTGGGCGCACCCACAGGCCTGTGGGGGGGGTGACAGCGGTTATGACCCCTGACCAGGGAGGTAGGCCCTCAGGTTCCTAGAAACCCAGCTGGGGACTCCTCGCCAATGGTTTCATCTTCCGTGAAAACCAGAGGGGTTAGACAAGCAGCATTTGTGAGGGTCCTTCTGGTACACGGGGCCCTCGACAGAGCAGTCACATGTCACACATTTGGAAGAATGACAATAAAAACAGTCTTTAGAGACAAATTCTTTTTTTTTTGAGACAGAGCCTCACTCTGTTGCCAGGCTAGAGTGCCGTGGTGTCAGCTAGCTCACAGCAACCTTCCAATCCTGGGCTCAGACGATCCTCCTGGAGCCTCAACTCCTGGCTCAGCGATCCTCTGCCTCAGCTCCAGTAGGGACTACAGGCATGCACCACCATGCCCAGCTAATTTTTTCTATATGTTTTTAGTTGGCCAATTAATTTCTTTCTCTTTTTAGTAGAGATGGGGTCTTGCTCTTGCTCAGGCTGGTTTTGAACTCCTGACCTTGGGCGATCCTCCTGCCTTGGCTTCCCAGAGTGCTAGGATTGCAGGCGTGAGCCACCATGCCCGGCCAGGGACAAATTCTTGTAAAGGTCTCTCACCCCGTTAAAAAAAATGTTTAATTTTTTTTTTTTTTTTTTGAGACAGAGTCTCACTTTGTTGCTCAGGCTAGAGTGAGTCAGTGCTGTGGCATCAGCCTAGCTCATGGCAACCTCAGTCTCCTGGGCTCAAGCAATCCTACTGCCTCAGCCTCCCGAGTAGCTGGGACTACAGGCATGCGCCACCATGCCTGGCCAATTTTTTGTATGTATAGTTTTAGTTGGTCAATTAATTTCTTTCTATTTTTAGAAGAGACTGGGTCTCCCTCAGGCTGGTTTTGAACTCCTAACCCTGAGCAATCCGCCCACCTCAGCCTCCCAGAGTGCTAGGATTACATGCATGAGCTACCACGCCCGGCCAAAGAAATGCTTAATTTTAGAGCCAGTGTGCCCGGTGAATGGTAAGATGTCACGGAGGCCTCTCTGTTGTCTCCGGGTCCCGAAAACTCTGTGAGGGTTTTGTGATTGTTCTGTTATTTTAATGCTGTGAACTCGCTGTGAGAATATGACATCTTTTTTCCGTCCCTGGACTCATAAATGCTCTTGCAGTGGTGAGGCTAGCGCTGAGAAACACCCTCCGTTCCTCAAATAGTCACTTCGGCCCGGAAGCCAGATGTGACATGATAAAACACCACAATGAGGAGGCCACACAGCTCCGGGCCGGGCTGCCTTGGATGTCATGTGAATCCACTTGGAAATGGCCAGAAAAGGAAGCAGATGGAGGGTGCCCGAGAAGACTGCCTGGGTTTGAATCCTGGCCTGCAGTGACTAGCTGGGAAGCAGTGAAAAGGCTACGGCAACTGTCCTGACCCCAGAAGGGCCAGGAGGACTGAGTAAAAGTGAAGCACTTGGGCAGGCTGGCACAGAGAGCTGCTGTTACCATTGATGCCACCACAAGGGCACAAACCTGTCCCCAAGAACACCTTTCTCTACCTCTGCACTGCACACAGGTTTTGGAAAACTTCCAAACAGTGCTACCACCCTCACCTGAATCCGATGCCCTAATGAATGCCAGGTACTTGCCCCAGGTCGCTGAGGGTGGGCTGGCAGCCAGGGCTCTGCACTGTCACTCAGATGGGCTGGATCTGCTCACAAGTGGGTAGAATGTTCACCTACACATAAGGAAACAGAAACTTGCTGGTTTCTTCTGCTTTTCCACAGTGACTTGGCCAGAGAAGCAGTTCCTAGTATTTTTAAAGCGCCCATCCCAGAAAACACGCTGCTGGGAACCCGTTCTGGCTCCTGCCCACGGATGGGGACTTTAACGCAGCAAAGAAAAGCCACCAGTAAGAAAGTGAAAGGTACTTATGCCTTGTGAAAAATGTTTCTGATGGAAAAAAACCCGGGTGTGGCCAAATCTTCTCTTCAGGAGCAACTGTAAACACTTAAAAATATGAAATCCGTCAATTAAAAAATGTTGACAACTTCTAAAAGCATCCTCTAGACCAAATACGGGTCATTGGGCTTCCAGTTAGAGGCATCTTAGGTACAAATAGTTTCCCACCGAGACACCCAAAGCCTGGTCTTTGGGTCCGGTCCCATTTTATCGCCCTGCCCCGACATTTTGGGTTTCTGTTGTCGCCTAGGGAGAAGCCTGCCTGCGGAGTGGTGGCGCAGGGGGTGACGGCCATCCCGGGGCATTTTGTGCTGGTAAAGCCCACGCCAGCCCTAAGAAGACACCTCACTCACACCTCACAGCGGTGTCGCACGCTCGCCCTTTCTGCGAGGACCCTCCCGGCAGGCCCTCGAGGCGCTCTTACTACGCCGACCCGGGCCGTCTCGGATCGCGAAGGCGAGCGCCGCCGCGGGGTGTGGCGGGCAGGACCCGGCGTCCCCGACCCGGCGCAGCGCGGCCCCGCCAGCGCGCCCGTCCCTGTCACCCGGCACGGAGTCCGCGGGCTCGGCTCAGCCCCACAGCCCCGCGCCGGAGACCCGGGCGCCCCTCGCCCGCCACCCCCTGCCGGTCCCCCGCTGGGCCGCGACCTGGGCCCGGGACCAGAGCTCGGAGTGGGCCTGGAGCCTGCGGCCTTGGCGCCGGCCGCGTCGCCCCGCCCCGCGTCACGCGCTCCGCCCGTCCCCTCCGCCCCCGCCGCCCGCGCCGCCACCGCCACGCCACCCCGGGAAGACGAGCCTCGGGTCCTCGGCCGGCCGCGCTCCGGGAGCCCCGGGCCCCGCCGCAGCCCGCGCTCCCTGAAGCCCAGGCTCCCCCTCCAGGCGGCGGGCGGCCCCGCAGCCGGCACCCACCTCTTCCCGCCGCGCCGCCCCGCGGCCGCTCCTCCCGCCGGCTCCCGCCGGCCCCCACCTGTGCCTTCCTCGGGAGGGAGGCGCGGGGCGGGGCCAGCTCTCCGCCCGACCGCCCGGCCCTCCCCGGAGGCGGCAGCTGACACCGGCTTGTGCCGGCTCTTTCCTTCCCGAGGGCATGACCTCGGCGGGCCTCAGTTAATTCAAAGGCAGAAACCTCTTCGGGTTTCAGTCAGGATAAAGTTCATGAATTCCTTCCTTCATTCAACAAATATTTATGAAGCACCTGGTTCAGGCAACCACCAAGGGCTGTGCAGGCTGTGCACTGTGCAAGGGGGCTGGCCCAGGCCGCATTAATTGCAGTCAGGGCTCCATCGTCTCTGTGGAAGGGCGGAAGGGCGTCTTTTTCCAGTTTGCCATACAGTTGATGGGCGGTGGACCCAGCCTGGCAGAGGCCCTAAAGTAGCCCACTGTTGAGTGAGGTAATTATATGTAGTGAGTACTTATTGTGCATCTACTATGTGCCAGGCTTCATCTCATGTCGGTAAAGCTCTTGGTGAAGAGTAAAACCAGGAAGCGGTGTCTGAGTGGCACTGACGCCCCAGCAAGACAGGGATGCCAGGGCTGTGCAGGGATATCCACACACCCTGCCCCCAGCCTCGTGGCAGCTGGCAGTACTGAAGGGCTGCCGAGCGGAATGTCTGCAGCTTGTTGAGGGACCCACGACCCTGGTTCTGTGATGGTCTGGCTCCCGAAATGTCAACCCCTCTCTGTACCTTCAACAGAAGCCACACCACACCATGGCACCTGCAGGTCCAGGCAGGACCACCCAGAAGTTTGCCTTTCCCTCCAGAAACCACCCGGCACTGGCTGGGCTGGGAACACCGTTTATTTGGCCACATGCAACAGGACAAAGTCAGGAGAACACTGCTGTCCTTCCAGCACGAGGGAGAGGCAGAAGCAGGGTGGGGTGGGGAGGTCCTGGGAATGGCAGTTCCAAGGATAGGGTAGGGCTTAGAGTGCCCCCCCTAAGCCACAGGGAGTGGCTTGGAGGTGGACACGTGGTCCTGGAACACCCTCTACCCAACTCATCTCATTCTGAGAGCTCATACATTCAGCTCTCAGGAATCAGAGCCTCGCCCTGCCCCCCACCCACCCTGGGACACGATGTGCAGGATCCCCTGGGTCCTCTGGGATCCTTATCCCCACCTGGTATTGATATGGCTTGTGGGGCTTCATGGATAGTGAGGACAGTCCACACCGGGCCTGAACCCCACCCCACCCTGGGTCTGCACGTCTCAGACTGGGCCTGCACCTGCACCCCCATGGGTGACCAAAGCCACTGCTGAGCAGGCAGGCAGAGCCCGCCTTCTATGTCCCAGATCTCCCTGAGTAACATGGTCAGTCACCCCTGCGTCCGTACTATCCAGGGCAGCTTGGCTTGCCAGCTGTCTTGCCTGTCCCTGCTCCAAGGGCCCCCAGACAACACAGGGAGAAAGGTCGCAGGAGGGGAAAGTAGCGACACAGATCTAGGTGGCATCCAAGCTTGGAGACCACTCTCAGAGGAGCCTGGGGGAACACACTGTGCGGCCCTAACCGCAGGTGGTCCATCTCTTAAAGGGGCCCAGGAAGGGCTCCCCTGCCATCTCTCAGGTCAAGACCTTGGGCAGCACGTGAGGGCTGCCCAAATGGAGGAGCTCTACAAAGAAGAGGCGACTGACTGGGGGCAAGGGTGAACTCAGCTGGGGACGCCTGGCCTCCACCTCCCCTTCCCAAGCCTGGCCCTTCTCTGACAGCAGTTTACCAGTCAGGGTTCGGTGCATGGGGGGTTCAGGGGGCGTCAGTGCATCGGGGGCCCGATGGTGATGCTGCTGTTGGTGACCCTGGGGCCGTACCAGCCGGCCCAGTAGTGAGTGTCCACGCCGCCGTGCTGAAACCAGATGTAGCGGACGCCAGGCGGGTAGTTGGAGAACGTGTGAGAGACCTGGGGGGGCGAGCAGGCAGAGGGGGGCAGAGGTCAAGGGCGCCGACCCTCAGCATGGCACTGCCTGTGGGGCCAGGGGAGCCAGGATGGGGTGGAGCTTTTAGTGCTGGACCAGGAAGCAGTGGGATGTTGTTTTAGTCCTCCCTCTGTGATTCTGAGCAGACCACCTCCTGTCTCTGTGCCTCAGTTTCCTCATCTGTAAAATGCAGCAAAATCATGCTGGGTCCGCTCCACAGGATCACCATGTGGCTCACAGGAACTGAAAGACACTGCAAGCTGCCAAAAGATGTCCACTATGGGCATCACTGGGCACGTGTGGCTCTCTGAGTTAAAATTAATTAAAATTAGGTGAAATAAAAAATTCAGTTACTCAGTTGTGCTAGGAACTGGCCCTTACTAAATGTTCAACAGTCATAAGTGACTCCTGGCTACCTTACTGGACAGCGCAGACACAGGCCATTTATGTTGTCGCAGAAAGTTTATCGGACAGTGCTAGTCTAGATCAGGGCTGGCAAACTGTGGCCTGCAGGCGCAATGCCTGTTTATGTAAATAAAGTTTTATTGGAACACTCTCATGTCCATTTGTTTACATGTTGTCTGAAGCTGCTTTCACTCAACAGCAGAGTTGAGTAGTTGTGACAGAGACAATGAGGCCTGCAAAGCCTGAAATATTTGTATCTGCCATTTTAAGAGAACATTTACCGGCTAGGAGCAGCGGCTCATGCCTGTAATCTTAGCCCTCTGGGAGGCTGAGGTGGGTGGATTGCTTGAGCCCAAGTGTTCGAGACCAGCCTGAGCAAGAGCGAGACCCCGTCTCTACTAAGAATAGAAAAATTGGCTGGGAGTCGTGGCGCACGCCTATAGTCCCAGCTACTCGGGAGGCTGAGGCAGGAGGATCACTTGAGCCCAGGAGTTTGAGGCTGCAGTGAGCAATGATGACGCCACTGCATTCTAGCTGGAAGTGACAGAGTAAGACTCTGTCTCAAAAAAAAAAAAAAAAAAAAAAAAAAAAAAAAAAAAAAAAAAAAGAAAAAAACACTTGCTGACTCTGGTCTAGAAAATAGTAATAATTGATACTAACAATTAGCAACAGTTAACCTTTTTGAACATTTTTTTGGATCTGGCCTTCCCAGCATCATGTCACTGACTTCTTTGCAAGCTCAGTGAGGGCAGCACCCATTTGACAGAAGAAATAACTGAAGCTCGGAGCAGGGGAAGCCAAGGCGAGCAGGAGCAGAGCTTGGGTCTGAACCTAGGCCTGTGTGATGGCAGTCTCAGCTTTGGGCAGTCTCCCTCCATCCCCAGCCCCTCCGGGGCCCACACACCTCCCTCCACTTGGCATCACTCTTCTGCTGGATCGTTGCCGGGTCTGGCTGGAAGGTCCCCAGAGGCACATGTGCAGACGACAGGAGTTGAACGCACAGCTGGTACTTGGACCCACAGTCCCGTCTGGCTGCAAACCTGCAGGGAGAGGGAGGGCCCATCAGGGCCTGGGAGATGGGGGGCAGGGTGGAGGTGGGGCACCTGAGCAGCAGGCCCCCCCCCAGACCCTCGCCCCAGGCACTCACCAGTCCTTGACCTCAATGTCCGGCCGTGTGGTGTCCATCAGCTCCTCCCAATACCCTTCGGCCTTGAGGTCCACCACCTGGGACTTGAGGCAGGTGCTGGGGGTGGGCGGAGGGGTGGGAGGGGCTGGGGCTCACCGCTAGGACACTGGGGGGGCTAGGACTGCCCCTTCCCAGGTGGGCGAGACCCCAGGGTGAAATGACTTGGGCTTCCCTCCACCCCAAGAGACCCGGCTCTTACTAATAAGAAGTCACGAAGTATTTCTTGACCTGGGCATTGGGGAACTCCTTCCTCTGGTCTCCAGAGAGATCTTCCACCTTCCACTCATCGCCTCCGTTCACGTCCAGGCTCCAGAACTCAAACCCCTCTGGTGGGAAAGCAGAGTTCACACTGAAGGGAAGCCCCTTAGTGGCCACCTTCTCCCAAGTGTCCCTTCTTCCCTGGTCCTCTGCCTGGATCTTGGTGGCTGCCCATGTCGTGAGACACTGCAGACCAACAGTGCCCACCTCATATTCAGTGCTTCCTGGGTCCCAGGCATAGGTAAGTGATTCCCCTGGAAATCCTGAGACACAGGATGATGTGAACGAGCAGCCCCCTTCTGTAGTGCAGAATGCTCTGACATGGGCCAGACAGACCTAGGTCTAGTCCCAGCTCTACCAATGCTGGGCTGTGTGACCTTAGCAAGTTGCTTTCCCTCTCTGAGCCTTAGTTTTCTCCTCTGTAAATTGGGAGTAAGAAAGGGGCTGGGAAACTTTTTCTGCAAAGTGCCAAAATATTTTTAGGTTTTGTGGGCCTCATACTATTTCTGCATAGTTTTGTTATTTTCTTTTCTTTTCTTTTCTTTTTTTGAGACAGAGTCTCACTTTGTTGCCCAGGCTAGAGTGCCGTGGCATCAGCCTAGCTCACAGCAACCTCAAACTCCTTGGCTCAAGCAATCCTTCTGCCTCAGCCTTCCGAGTAGCTGGGACTACAGGCATGTGCCACCATGCCCAATTAAGTTTTTCTATATATTTTTAGTTGGCCAATTAATTTCTTTCTATTTTTACTAGAGATGGGGTCTCGCTCTTGCTCAGGCTGGTTTCGAACTCCTGACCTTGAGCGATCCGCTGCCTCAGCCTCCCAGAGTGCTAGGATTACAGTGAGCCACTGCATCCAGCCCTCTTTTCTTTTTTAAAAAAGGTAAAAATTATTCTTAACTCCTCAGCCAGATTTGGCACGTGGAAAGACCATAGTTTGCCAAATGCTGGTCAAGAACATGGCTATTGGGGAGTGAAGGGAAGCGGGCATCCGAAAGCTCTGGATAGCTTGGAGGAGTTCATAATTTTGCTCTGGAAAAATGCTCCGAGAGGGAGAATGAGGTTCCCATCCTATCCCCATATCCACCTGACAAGTTGCACCATAGCGAGGGAAGAAGGGGCTTCTGGATGACTGTAGATGCCTTGTTTTACCTGTTTTTATAATATGCTGAAAAGAAGACTGGATCTCCCATTCTTCCAGAAGCAAAATCCCCCTTTCCATCTGGGATAATCTCTGTAGGCCTAGCCCTGGAGTCTGGGAACTAGGCCAACAAAGTGTGACGCTGACTTCTTGGTCTTGTGTCCTGAGCACAATTAGTCCCAACTGGCCAACATTCCACTGCCCAGGCAAGGTCACTGGGGAAATAATCTTAAGAGTGGAATAAGAAACACTACTCGTAGCCTTAGCTTGCTCATCTGAAAAATGTGTGCACTGCCAGTATCTACTTCCTAGGGTTACTGTGCGGGGTTTAAAGAAGCTAAGCATCCAAAGTACCTGGCTCACAGTATGTGCTCGATAAATGTTAGCAGATTTCATGACTGTGTGTGCTGAGGGCGTACCAGACCCCCCCTGTGCCCCACCTTCAGCGCACGGGTTGTGCAAGAGGTTCCTGTGGAGGCTACGTAAGAAGTAGAAGATCTTCCAGTCGGCCACGGGCTGGTCCCAGTCCTCAGTGATGAAGCCCTCGAGCACACACTTGCGCTTCCACAGGGTCACCAGGTCGATGAGGTCCCGCCAGAGGCTGCAGACGGGGCGGCAGCGCAGCAGGAGCTGGCGCGCGGGCACGTGCCTGAACAGCTCCAGCAGGATGTTCTCGGGCAGCTCGTTGATGTTCCCCACAGCCATGGCTTGTGGCTTCTGGACACCCTCCTGCGGTTGTGGAAAAGCTAGGCTACAGACCCGGCCCTCTTCCGGGACCATTTCATTTGCAGCAGCTGGTGGTGCTGGAGGTCCCATCCCTGCTCTGACATTTACTAGCTGGGAGAGTCGCTACGCCTCTCCAAGCCTGTTTCCTCCCCTGACCTCCAGGGTCGCTGGGGCTGTCAGACAACAGCATCTGCTCAATAAAAGTTGAGCTCTGATTTTTCAATGGCACCTCACAATGCCCTCTAAGGAACTTCCAAGGTCAAACGGACAGAGGCAGTGGGAAGGGACTTGGTGTCTTCTCCGACTCTAGAAAGAGCCTTTTTTAAATAGGCCAGACAGTCTTTAGAGAGGAAATACCGCGCAGCCCCACTGAGTACTCCGGGCTGCTCGGTCTCGGTCTCCGCCATCCTCCCTCCCATCCTCACAACGTGATGTTGGGGGTTGGGGAATAATTATCACTGCCTCCCACGGAGGTCAAAGGGCTCAAGCGGCTTTCTCAAGATCACGGAGGAAACGGTCTGCCCGGCGGGGACTGGCGAGAGGCGGGCGGTGGGGAAGGGCACTAGCTCCCGGTCCGCATCCCCGCGGCTGGGCTCCAGCCCCGGGTCCGCCGCCGCGCCTGCGCCTCCGCTTCCCACGGCAAACTTTCACGCTGTGGCCTTAAGATGTCCTCCAAAGTCGAGGCTCGGACCCCGCGCATCGGTGGCGACCCCAGCCCGGATTCCCGCCCCCGCCGTCGCTCGCGGCGCGCGGTGCGTCCGGGGCACGTTCGGCGGCGCCCGGCCTCCCTCGGCGCACTGCGGCGCGGCCAGGAGCCGCCGAGCCCGCCGCCAGGCCCCGGCCCGCACGCGTCTCCTCCCGCGCCCTCCCGCCGGTCACCTGCGCTCGCCGCGGCGCGATCGGCTCGGCCGCCCGGCCAGGGTCCCCGGGGAAGCGGCCCCGGCCCCGGCCCGCCCGCCCCGCGCCCCGCGCCGGCCCCGCGCCCCGCCCGCGCGGGCCAGGGACACGCCCCCACCGCAGCCTCGGAAAATTACCTGGGGGGAGGGCGGAGCGGGCCTCCTACCCCCGACTGCGCCTGGGCCAGGCGCCCCGCACCCTCCACCTGGCCCAGACTCGCGCGGCCCCTCGCCTCCTCCTGACACCCCCCAGGAGCGAGCCGAGGGACGCCCCAATCGGACCCCCCAGTTAAAACTCCCGACTCCCGACCTTTCCCGGGCTCCCGGGTCCGCCGAGGAAGCCGGAGCCGCGGGCCTCGGCCCATGCTGGGACTGCGGGGCGGCCGGGCGCGGGGCCAAAGGCGGGGCGGGGGCGGGAGCGGGGGCCTTTAAGAGGCGCGGCCGCCGGGACCGAGCCAGACGCGGGCAGCGCCGGGACTCGCCTCCGCCGCCGCCGCGCACGGCCCGCAGCGCTCCGGCTCCTCCTCTCGCGACCGCCCTCCGCAGCGATGGACGGAGACGGGGACCCAGGTAGCCGCCGCCGCCTGGCCTCGCTCGCTCCGGCTGGGAGGGGACGGGGCAGGCGCGCGGGTGCCGCAGAGCGGGTCCCCAGAGAGCCAGGGGCCCCGAGACCCCGCGCGGCAAACTTGCACGCAAGCAGAGTCCTTGAGACTGTCTCGAAAGAGCGCAGCCTTCTCCCCAGTGTCTTGGTCTGGCCGGAGGCCTTGAGAGGCGGCAGGCAGGGAGGAAGGACTCCTGGGTCCCATCTACCCAGGAAGCAGAGTGGGAGGACAGCTTCTTGAGGGTCTGTCGGGCGGGGGCTGGGCGGTCTGGGATGGGGGCTGCAAGCCGCCTTCTTCATCACCTTCCTCCCTTTGCCAGCTCTGGCCCTTCAGTGGCCTGAATCCCGGTGTGTTTCTTGGGGTTACCTGCCTCTCCCCACCCATCCCAGCCTTCCTCCTGGGGTCCCTCATCTGGCGGGCTGCCCTTCACCTGGGGGCGGGATGCTCAGTGGGCGCCAGGCCCGCGGTGAGGGAGAGCTGGGGACAGCTCTTGGCTGGCCCTCTGAGACTGCCCAGTCATCTTCTCTGGCTCCGAGGGCCCCCATCCCTCCGACTCCCTGCTGGACCTGCGGGGTTGCCTGCTGAGTCAGGGTGGGAACAAGACCTGCCTGCAGACCGTCCTCCCCTTTCTTCTCGGGCCCAGCTGAGGGGGGGCATTGACTGGGGGGGGTCTCCAGGCCTGAAAACCCAGCTCCTGCAGCCCCCTTGCCACACCCTCTCTGGGCCCCAGAATCGGCCCCTGCGTTTTCCCCGGGGCCCAGCTATTCCCCTGGACTCTGGGGCCCCATCCAGGTGACTGAATCAGCCCCAGAGGAGGCTTCCAGGGCCCAGATAACTTTCCGACAGCAACAATGTGGGGAGTTGTGTGTGCGAGAGAGGGTAGGGGGGGCTGTAATTGGATCTGGGGCCTCGAATGCCAGGCCTGGGGGCCAGAAGAGCAGACTGGGTGAGGTGCACCTTTCGGGGAGCATCAGGTGTCTGCTGGGGCCAGGGCAGGGCAGGGGGAGGGGTGGAGAGGTGAGGACACTGGGCCCAGCTCCCCAGGGAGCTGTGGGCATGTGGGTGGGCAGGTGATGTGGCTTCGGGGCCCAGTATTTTCCTCTCTGCCATCCTGCTGTTCTGCTGTGTGATCTGGGAGAAGCTACTAAGCCTCTCTGGGCCTCCAGTTCCTCTTTGCCAAAAGGGAGGGTGTAAACCTCCATGTCATGAAGATGTGGCCAAAAACTGCTATTAATGGAGGGACAGTGCTGTGCTCAGTGAGATTCACTCAGTAAGGCGTACTGAGGACTCACTGTGTGCTCTGGGCTCTGAGAACCAGGTAAACCCTGGTCGTCACTTAAGGGCCTGACTGTGTGTGTGAGGACTGGGCCCTGCCACCTGTCCCCTGCCCCAGGGTCCGGCCTGTCTCCACCACTGCCGTGGCTGTCTGGGGCCCAGCCCTCAGGAATCCCCATCCTAGTCTGAGAGCGGTGGCCTCCCCCATCACCCAGAGTGGCCCATCTCCTCCTCACTGGCACTCCCTCCTCCAGAGATACTGGGCACTCCGTATCTGCTTACTCAAGGCTCCGGTGGCCCAGCTGAAGCTGGCCCAGATCCAAGGGACAGTGCTGCTGACATCTACCCACCTCATTATTCAGAATGCCCTTGCCCCCTCCCCAGGGGATTGGAACATCAGCACTGTGAATCTGGCATCTATAAAAGGATTGCCCCATTTTATGGACGAGGAAACTGAGGGCCAGGGATGGGAGAAGAAGAGGTGAAGAGACCGTCCTTTCCCACGCCCCTGTTTGATATAAGAGTTTCTTTTAACGAGCCCCTCCCTATCCCCAAGTCACACAACAGAGGCTGGCTCCGGACAGCTGGGTCTCCAGCCCCCACCCTCTCCCCCCAACCCCAGGCCTCAGGTCCTGTGTCCCCTCCCCGAAATACTAGCAGCGTGTCCTTCAGGTAGTCACTTCATCTCTGAGCCCGAGCATTTTCATCTGCAAAATCAAAATCCCAACAGTGCCTACTTCCTCCAGTTACTCTGTCCAGGCTGTGGTGGTTTAGGGTGGCCCCGGGCCGGCTGGGTCCAAAGCCAGGCTCCAACCACTTATTGGCAGTGCGGTCCGGGCCGTTTCCCCTCCCTGTGCTTTGGCCTGTTCCTCAAGGAAACAGGGGCAGCAATGGCCAGAAATGGGGTGAGGATTTAGCGCAAGGGAATGGAATCGCTCAGGCCGGTGCCCGCTTGCTGAGTGCCCCATAAGCGTGCGCTCCGACGGTGCGCCGGGCACAGGGCGTGAAGCAGGGTTTCCCAGACTCGGATCCCGCCCTCGTGAGGCTTGGTCTTGTCTGGAGAAAGGTGCTCATCAAACTACCATACCTGGGGACAAAAGCTAGGCAGCTGGGGGAGGATGGGGTCGGCGGAAGTCCAGGAGGGTTCTTGAGGAGGTGAGGGGAGCAGAGTCTCTCAGCGTGGCCGGGAGGATTGAAGAGTTCGTGTGTGAAGCCTTAGCAGGCACAGTGGTCTAGATGGCTGTCATTAATAACATTATCCTTGCTGTCACCTGCCCAGGGGTGGGGTTTACCGGCCCTTGGGGGAAACAGGCCTCTGAGCAACTCTTAGGACTTAGGAGCTGCTCAGTGGCCCCAGGGACAGGCCTCCCGCCTGGGCACCAGTCCCTGGAGTCACAGACTCTCTGGCCGGTGGGTGGAGGCAGGTGCCGGCGCACTGCGGGCCCAGGCTGTGGAGGGGACAGTCTGGGGGAGTCACCGCCTGCCCGCCCCGCAGAGAGCGTGGGCCAGCCGGAGGAGGCAAGCCCGGAGGAGCAGCCGGAGGAGGCGTGCGCGGAGGCGAGCGAGGAGGAGCGGCCCGAGGACCAGGAGGAGGAGGACCGGGAGGCGGCGGCGTACCTGGCCGAGCTGCCCGAGCCGCTGCTGCTGCGCGTGCTGGCCGAGCTGCCGGCCGCCGAGCTGGTGCGCGCCTGCCGCCTGGTGTGCCTGCGCTGGAAGGAGCTGGTGGACGGCGCCCCGCTGTGGCTGCTCAAGTGCCAGCAGGAGGGGCTGGCGCCCGAGGGCGGCGCGGAGGACGAGCGCGACCACTGGCAGCAGTTCTACTTCCTGAGCAAGCGGCGGCGCAACCTGCTGCGCAACCCGTGCGGGGAAGGTGAGAGGCCCGCGGGAGCCGGGCGCGCCCGCCGGGAACGGGGCCTAAGTGCGGCAAAGCGCCGGCGCGGAGTGGCCCCAGTGATGCCTGCTGGCCGCTTGTGCCCTGGGTCTGTTCCCCGGGTCCTTCCGCCCTCCGGGAGCTGGGCCAGGCCGGGGCTGGCGACGGCCCTCCAGGAGGCAGAGTCGGGAAGTTCCGCCCCACCACCCGGCGTGTGCCCACCCCGACGCCACCGACCAGCCCGCTCTGTCATGCCCAGAGCCGGACAGCCTCAGCGGGCACGGGTGACCAGGGTGGGCGCGTCGTGTCCCTACAGAGGACTTGGAGGGCTGGAGCGACGTGGAGCACGGCGGGGACGGCTGGAGGGTGGAGGAGCTGCCTGGAGACTGCGGGGTGGAATTCACCCACGACGACGGCGTCAAGAAGTTCTTCGCCTCCTCCTTCGAGTAAGGAGAAGGGGGGAGGCGGGGAGGGGGCGTCCATTCCGGCCTAACTCCCGTTCTCCCAGGTGGTGTCGCAAAGCGCAGGTCATTGATCTGCAGGCCGAGGGCTACTGGGAGGAGCTGCTGGACACGACTCAGCCGGCCATCGTGGTGAAGGACTGGTGAGGCCCGGCGGGGCGGGGCTGTGGGAGGGGGCTACAGCAGAGGGGCGGCCAGATGGGGCCCCTCCTCCTGAGTTTTAAGTATTGGCAAATACACACACACGCGTGTTTTTAATATATATATATGTGTGTGTGTGTGTATGTATATATATATTTTTTCCCACCCCTCCCGTTGTATACATATATTTTTAATCTGTCTGCGGTGCAAACAAAACGTGACTTTAGGCTCGCTTTGGCCCCAAGGTTGGGTGTGGCCGACCTGGGATCTAGTCTTTGCATTTGGATCTTGGGCCACTTTTTCTCTCTGGTCTCGGTTTTATTTATTTACTTATTTTATTCCAAAGCCTGGTGAACATGGCATTTAAAGGTCTCGGTTTTCTTATCTGTAGAATGGGAGCATGGGTGGTTACCGGCCCCAGATGTAAATGAGGACTTGGGTAGAAGGCTGGGTCCCTAGGAAGCGCTCGCTCCCTCCCTTGGGGCAGGTACTCGGGCCGCTGCGACGCCGGCTGCCTGTACGAGCTCACCGTGAAGCTGCTGTCTGAGAATGAGGACGTGCTGGCAGAGTTCAGCAGCGGGCAGGTGGCAGTGCCCCAGGACAGTGACGGGGAGGGCTGGATCGAGGTGAGCCTGGAGGGGTGGAGACGGCGGGGTGGGGCCTGGGCTCTAGGGGTGGGGCCTGGGCCCAAGGGGTGGGGCCTGGGCCCAAGGGGTGGGGCCGGGCGGCGCACCGGGGTAGGGGACCAGGGGGAGCACTCCGGACCCTTGGGGCTGACTCTCCCTACCTCCGGTCCCCAGATCTCCCACACCTTCACCGACTACGGGCCAGGCGTGCGCTTCGTCCGCTTCGAGCACGGGGGGCAGGACTCCGTCTACTGGAAGGGCTGGTTTGGGGCCCGGGTGACCAACAGCAGCGTGTGGGTGGAGCCCTGAGCGACCCTCCTGCAAGCTTCCCCAGCTGCCTGGAGGGGCAGAGGCTGGGGTGGATAGGCCTTAACTTAGTCGTAGCATCCTCGCCTTCCCCGAGCCACCAGCCCTTCTTCTCTCAGGCCCCTTGCTCCAAGCCCAGCCTTAGGCGGGGACAGAGGGGCTTGTTGGCATATATTTGCTTCCGTTCGCACCTCCTCGCAGCCGGCTTCTAGAATGTACGATCGGTGAGGGCGTGGGCCCTGCTGAATCTTCTGCACCTAGCACAGTGCCTACCTCAAAGGGGGCGCTTAATAAATATTATTTGTCCAAGGAAGGAATGAATGAACAAAGGATGAATGAGCACCTCTCCCCTCCCATCCTTTTCTGTCTTCCGAGGGCCCAGCCTGGAAAAACACTTGGTGGGGCTCCAGCTGCTCCGGTTTCCAGGGGCCCTTGAGCCAGTGTGGAGCCGGTCAGGCCCGGGCCGGCAGGGCTGGACAAAGGCTGGGATTGTGAGGCCGAGGAGGGGTGAGCTGGGCCTGGCGCCTGATCGACACCCAAGCTGCCCAGAGGCCAGAACAGGGGGTGGGGAGGCTGCCCCCAAGCCTCTCTTGGCCCAGCGATTATCCTGTGATTGTCCTACGCCTTGCTGCCGCCCCCTTTCCGAAGGCAGGGTGGTGGAGGTGGCGGTGGTGGCACAGGATCTAGGGTACCAGTCCTCCTGGGCTGGGGTCTGGGAGGTGGGGGAGCACAGAAAGGACCAGTCTGGCGTCCCTCTTCAGTTCCTGCGCACTCCATGCTGTCCTGGTGTTGGATTGGCCTGGACTCATGAGCATTTGGTCTCATCGGTCGTTTTCTGAGCCCGGCCCAGAGGCTGGCCCCTGGCACTGGTTTTGGGGACAGGAGCGTGTTGTGCCAGAGTCTGGGCCTGGGCACTCTCCTCTGCCCTCCCCAGCAGCTCTCCAACCCAGCCCTTCCCAGGACTCTCTGCTGGTCCTGGGGGCGTTTGAAGGGCTCGAAACACCTCCTCTCCTGCAGTGGCGACCAATAAAATCACTGTGACCCTGCGGCTTGCTTTGCTTGTGGACCCTGCTGCTGCCTGCTGCTCAGGTGGGACCGCAGGGTTCGAGCTGGGGGCTGCCTGCAGTTGTTCATTGGTTCATTCATTCACTCATTCATGCATTCACAATTCTCGGAGCCCCAACCCCAGTCTGTGTGAGGGCCCTGAAATTACAGGGGTGAGAAAGACCCAGGGTCTTCTGTCCCAGGAAGAACCTGCAGCCTGGCCACGCCCAGGGGACAACACCCTGAGGAGGGATATGTCTTGGGGCCTCCAGTCTAATGGTGGAGGCGTAGTCCCTGCTCTGGGGGGCACCCTCAGTCTGACGGGGAGACAAAACCTTGGCCTGGGAGCACTGTCAGCCTAAAGGGGGAGGCATGGCCCCTGGCCCAAGGCCACCCTCCATCCTTTCTTGTGGATTTCACAGTCTGATGGGGAAGGCACAGTCAGTATGGGAAGCTGTGGAGGAAGAGGCCCCCCATGAGCCCCCCTGTTTGAATAAATGGGTAACAGGCAAGGTGGGGCTTTGGGGCGAGTGGGGGGAGGACTGGAGCCCTTGCTGGGTGGAGGGGGGAGCTAGGCGGAGACTGGCAGCGGGCAGAGGGATGTATGAGAGGCCTGGGTGCCAGGGCAGGAATGGGGGTGGGTGGGTGGGAGGTGCGTAGGTGGGGGGAGCTCCCCAGAGTTTCAGGTGTCCATGGAGCACCTGAGGTTCCCAGGGAATCTGGGGCTCTGGGCTGGAGACGTAGCGGTAGGAGTTGCATCGTATGTGGCCGGCGACCAAGGCCAAGGGCGCTGCAGGGGAGGGTGGAAGCCAGTGCACTGTGAGGCAGGAGAGGGCCTCAGGGGCCACAACAGACAAAGGACAGGGAGGCAGGGTGGTCGGAGGTGGGGGTTGGGGTGGGTAGGGGGCACAAGCCCAGCAAGGCCACCTCCAGCCAGTTGCCTGGTCTCAGAGGAAGGACCTAGAAGCCCAGAGGCCTTAAGGCTGCTGTGGTCTCTCCCCAGGGCACGGAGCCCTCAGAGGAGCCCTTGGAGGGGCTGGAATAATGGGTGCCCCGACAGGTTCTTCCCAAGTGTCTGTCACTGGAGGGGCAGTTGGATACACCAGTGGTGTTAGTTCAGGAAGACGAGACAGCTGCTTCTGAGCCATCAGACGGCTGGCTGAGGCGGGCACTTCCTATTATGTCACCCGTGCAGTCCCGTCAGAGGTGGGCATGGGGGAGAGGGCACCGTCATCCCTTGTGCGTGTGGGAGACTCAGGGCAAGGCTTCCCAGGCAGACGGCACACAGTAGCTGCAGAGGCACCAGCTCCAGTCCGGGCTCATCGGCTCCAAGGTGGACGCTCTTAATCCCGCCCAGCTTTTCTGTCCCCTCCTCTAGAGCCCAGAGCTGGACCCACATGGGAACATTATGGGAAGGCAGATATCAGCCTCTCTCTCTCTCTCTTTTTTTTCTTTTTTTGAGACAGGGTCTTGCTCTGTCACCCAGGCTGGAGTGCAGTAACATCATCATAGCTCACTGCAGCCTCAAACTCCTGGGCTCAAGCGATCCTCCTGCCCCAGCCTCCCAAGTAGCAGAGACTACAGGCGTGTACCACTATGCCTGGCTAATTTTATTGCTTGCTTGATTGTTGAGATGGTAAGGAAAAGATTGGGGTGCTGTCCAGCAGGAGACACCCAGGGGCCTCTCTTGACAGTGGGGACAGTTAAAGCCACAGCTAGCAGATGGGGCCTGCAAGTCTCCTGCGATCCCTTCTCATCATCCGATTTATTGAGCGCCCGCCGTGTCTCTGGCAGGGATGGAACAGACACGGTCTCTGCTCTCCTGGAATACGCAGCTTGGGGGGAGAAACGTAAACACAAGCAATGAAACGAATGAACAAGATAATTGCCCAAGTGACGTAGCCCTTAGTCTGCATACCAGGCACCACTCGAAGACTTTATATCTATTGCTTTATCGCAATAACCTCAGGAAGTGGAAACTTGTTATTAATAATTCCCTTTTTTTAGGCTGGGCACTGTGGCTCACGCCTGTAATCCTAGCACTCTGGGAGGCCGAGGCGGGCAGATTGCTTGAGGTCAGGAGTTCGAAACCAGCCTGAGCAAGAGCGAGACCGCGTCTCTACTATAAAGAGAAAGAAATTAATTGGCCAACTAATATGTATAGAAAAAATCAGCCGGGCATGTTGGCGCATGCCTGTAGTCCCAGCTACTCGGGAGGCTGAGGTAGGAGGATCGCTTGAGCCCAGGAGTTTGAGGTTGCCGTGAGCTAGGCTGATGCCACGGTACTCACTCTAGCCTGGGCAACAAAGAGAGACTCTGTCTCAAAAAAAAAAAAAAAAAAATTCAATTTTTATAGATGAGAAAATTGAAGCCCAAGAGAGATTAAGCATCTTGCCTGAGGCTGTGCTGCTAATAAGTGGTGGAGCTAGAATCTACTCAGCTGCTTTGGCACTTGGAGCTCTATGGTGGAGTAAACAGAGCAGAAAGAGAGGGTGGGAGGGCTACTGTGGTCAAGGTGATCAGGAAGGACTTCTCTGAGGAGGTGACATTTGAACTGATCGACGAGGAGAAACCAGCCATGCAGATATCTGGGGACAGAGCATTGCAGGAGCAGCACGTGCAAAGGCCCTGGGGTGAGAATGAGTTTATTCACAGATCAGGAAGGCAGTGACAGTGGCTGGGGTGATGAATAAGTAGGCAGGCATTGACATGAGCTTGGATCTGTGACCCCAAGGGCCCCATGGAGTACATCAGTTTCCGTTGAGGATACACTTTGCTCTGTCTACAGGAGCTGGGGGTTGGGGGTTAGGCCTCAGCAGTTTCCTGTCTGGTTGATGACACCAAACTTCCCAGGAGTAATAAAAGGATGATCAGGATGATGACGAGGGCGATGATGCTGATGACAGCCATGATGGCAATGACGACAGGCATTTGCTGAGGACTTAAGGTGCCAGTTCCAGTGCTAAGTGCACAGACTCATTCAATCTGCTCAGTGGCAGATGCAGATGTTCCCATTTTACAGATAGAAGAGTTGAGACTCAGGTGTTGGTAACTTGCCCAGGGCAAGTGAGGAGTTGAAGACGGATCTCCGGCTCATCTTAGCCACTTCTTTGTGGTATCGAATCAGAGGTGGGCACGTGCTGGGGGACAGAGCAGGGCGGAAGCTAGGGGCTCCATGGTGGGGAAGAGTAGGAAGGGTTGGGGATGACAAGCACATTGAGCCCCAGCACTTCTATGCATCCCATTACCCCAGGAGGGGGTGCTTGCTAGGTGTTTCGGGGCAATTTTGATTGAGGGGTCAGGGAAGGTAAAATGAATTTCCCCTTATATTTCTTGGTGGATAGCTCTATTTAACAGTTTTGTTATAGGAAAGGTCCCTCTTCCCCTTTCTGATGAATTTGCCTTGTAAATCTGGATTTTGTGTTCATGATACAGTCAACTGTGGATGTGGGAGGGAAGGAAGGGCCAGTTCCTCTGGGCGCCACTAGGTGTCAGCATTGTCAAGGCAGTCCCCAAGTCCGGCTGGTCTGGTCCAGTTCTCTGCAGAGCAAGGGGCCTCCGAAGCTGGGATTTGAATCCAAAGCCTGGTCTCTTTCCATTGCTTGGCACTGGGTCAGGGTCCTCAGGGCTGGGCTTTAAAGCTGCTCTTACCGAGAAACATTTAGGAAGCCTGAGTCCTATAAGACCGGGAAGGGTTGGTGGTCTCCAGGGATCTGGCCCAAAGTGGGTCTGGGAGCCTAGACCCCGCCCCCCCAGTCTGTCCCCACCTCAGCAGAGCCCGGGGCCCTCCTCGAGGCCCCTTGCCGGCAGTGAGCACAGAGCATCCAGGTGGATCCAACCCTGATATCCTGGTGAGTAATGACTTTGCCGTTTTCTCCCCCCGTAAATTAAACCTAATCTTGTGTTGACTCTGCTGAACAAGGAGAATAATGAAGAAGATTAAGATGAGATGGTATTCATTCTCCTCCAACAAGAGCCAATTAATCGTCAGTAGGATTAGCGCTCTGAGCCGGGAGCTGCTACCAGTTCTGCAGACAGGGTGCAACAGGGCCGGGCCGGCTGCCAGTGCTTCGGCTGGGGCCTGCTGGTGATGCAGCAGGAAAACCTCCAGTCAGATGCTAGGAAGAACTGCCTGGGTGAGGGAAGGACTCGCACCAAGGAGGGGGATGTGAAGAGCGTGGAATCGCCCACCCAGGTGACGTTTGTAAGTCATGGAGGGAGGCTCCATGGAAGTTACTGCACTCCTGCACATACCTGGCATTTCCTTTCTGAGGCCCTGAACCACCTGGCCATGTCCACCCCAGGCTCCCGGGACCCCTTGCCCCCTGCCTTTCTGGGGTCTCCTCCTCACCCTGCTTTCCTTCCTCCCTGGAATCAGAGAGGCTAAGAGTATGAGTTTGGAGACAGAAATACTGTCACCTGGCTTTGTCCCTTGTCCTTATCTGCACAAATGGAACCTGCAACCCCCACCTGCCAGCCGGGTTGACGCTCCTAGGCACTAAGGCGCCTGAGGTCCCCGGTGCCTACCCCGTTCTCTGAACACGTGGTGAGGCTGGATGCATGGGGCGACTGCCCTGCGGCTGTTGCTCAGAGCCTGGGGGGACTGCCCCTTGCTGATCTCCTCCGCTGCATTATCTGGGCCACTCCCTGCAGCAGCCCTCCTAGGATGGCTGCATTTTGTCATCCCAATTTATGGAAGAGGAAGCCAAGGCTCAGAGAGGTGGGTCTCGTGGTCGAGGTCACAGAGCTGCAGCCTGCAGGGCTAGCTGGGATGTCCCCTCTGGGACAGAGACCCCAGAGCTTGTGCCTTCCGCGTCTCCACGTCACTTAGCGTATGCGGAAGGCGTTGAGCACGTGCTTGCCGAATGAATGAAACTCTCGGCAGGTGCTATTTCTGGTCCAGGAAGTCCCTGTTTCAGACCCTCCCACATCTTGATAACTCCCAGAAGTAAATGGATTGTGTGCGATTTGTGACATCCTTTTTGGTAATTCTTGGCAACTC